TCTTCTTCATCTTGCTCTTGACTGTCATAATTGGGCCAAGGAGGAACAACAAAACCATATTGCGGTTTTGAGATCAAATAACCTGAGCCAACTCCCATAGCTCCTGCCGTATGTTTATGACAGCAGCAGCTCTTCCAAGCGGAGCACGGCAGGCAGACCCTGAAGAAGCACAGCAGACGCAAGTTGAGTCTCTCAGCTTTCCCTTGCTCAGGTTTCTTGTTTGTTTAATCTTTTGAAGCTGCAAAATCTCCAGGAACAGCAGCTGTGACGTATTTGAGGACAGAACAAAAGGCAGCACTGTCAAAATACAGGACCCGGCTGGCTTCCAGACTCCTGGGGATATAGCTTTGCAAAGGGTGTTAAAGGAAGGGAGTGTGATGCAGTGTCTTTATTAGCTCACCAGTGCAAGAGCGTGAAGCTGAGTTGTGGCGCAAATATAGGGTGGGTGACAAACGGCACACACCTTTTCTGGTTGCACCCTGCACATCTTTTATGCATGCCACGAGCCATTATGACAGCCACCTTTTGATAAATATAGCCTGTGGCTTCCCCTTGAGAAAATCTCGAAAAACACTGGGCTCATAGTAGCTTAAAGTACTCCACATGTCCCCGTCAACTAAAGTCACTGCTTAGTGTTTAACTTGCCTAAGGCAAGCCACTGGGTGAGTCCACCCAACACAGTAACCCTCCCTGCAAATAAGCTGTGCATCTAGGCTTACATGTAATTGCTTTTCCTCCTTTCTGCACAGTCTACCAGGGCCTCAGGGGAACTGGCTGCTGAAGCTGCCCTGTCCTTCTGTGTTTACCATGACTTTTCCACCTTTATTTGGAGATCACTCTTAGTGATCCTCTGAGTGACATGGACAGCCAGAGACATCCCTTCCAAAGTGCCAAAGCTATTGGAGCAGCTGTCACTGCTTCACCACCTATCTTATGGGTGATCGGGCCAGAAATGTTCAAAAAAGTATTATTTTTTTAATGTTGGTAGTTCAGGTTATGCAGGTGAACAACTCTGGCTACCAAAAGTGCAAAGCTTTCCCTGATCAGTGGTGTGGTTGGTGTGTGTTGGCAAAGCAGGCATCATCCATGGACATTGACAAAATCAGGCATCAAGTATGTGACTTTGCTTTCACTTGACAGCAAGGAGATCTGTGCTTGTGAAAGTGGTTGGTGAGCAGATCACTTCTTTCATAGCATGGTCCTCTAAGTTGCAAGGTTGGAGCTGATAGTTCTCAGTATCCTTCAGCTTTTCCACACTTTCCTGAGCTTCTAAATGCATAGAATAGTGCAACCTAAATTTATGGGAGCATTTACTTCTGACAGCTATCAAATGTTTCCTTTATACAAGGTCTGATAGTGCTAATTGTGTTTGTGTGTTATGGGGATATATGCAGACTTCATGTCTACCAAAAAAGAGAAGGGAAATGGGGAAAAATGGGTGGCAAAGCAGTGATGGTTGCACCTGTGTGCCACTTGGGCACTTTAGAATGGCTATCACCGGCTGTCTCAGTCACTTTGGAGATCTCAAATAATGATCTCCAGGCAAAAAGCTGTGGCAAATGCAAAAGGGGTTGCAAGCAGAGTGGGAAGAGTGAGTTGTGGTTGCTCCAAAGTGCCAGTTGAGCACTCGATGGAGTGGTTACCACTAATGCTGACCTGGGCAAGAGTAGCACGGGCTTTTTCCTACCAAGCAGTTCTTTCACGACTTCCCGAACCCTACAATGAGGTCAGTAACCTGGGTTACAATCCATCATGAGTACAAGAATTCTCACAATGAGCATGGGTTGGCAGGGGGGCTTGTTGTCCAAACAAGAGCCCTTGCACAACATGGCAACTCTTATAGCTAGTTACCCAGCATGGTTTTTTGTGTTGTGTGAACCCAGTCTTTTCATCTGTGATGTTGAGTCTCCTGGGTTCAATAACTGGATGCTTGGGCCTAATATCTGCGTAGATTTGAGAAATGCCCTTCTTCCTGCACCAATCATGTTGGGGTAGCTTGAGCCTTGTAGCTGACTTTGATTTTGTGTAACTGTGCGCTGTCTCAATTCAAGGTTGGAACCATGAAGCTCTGGAGTCAGAGGGTTTAGACTTTACTCTTTCACCTGTAGATCTTCTGAAATTCCAACTACCTTGTGGGGGGGATGTAAAAACAGGCTCCATCAACGCCAATGATTCTTTATGCCCTCCCCACATGTATGTGGAATTTGGGGGGAAATGGGCAGGGAGAAACTTAAATCCTCCCTTGTTGGATGACCATGATCCCAATCCCAGTTCAGATAGGGACCACACACATTTCCATGAAAGTAAAAAGAATGAAAGAAAAAAAGGCACAGCTGCACAACTGTGATTAATTGCCGTATCTCTATGGATCTCTGAAGAAAATCACATGCATGCGCAAGGCATTTCCGACTATTTCACTGATCATTCGAAAAGTTCAGAAACATTCCAACAGGCCATATAACGGGATGCAGGTACAAGAGATCAGACTTGGCAGTTATCCAGATGCCAACTCTGTCCCCTTATCCATTCAGGTTGTGCTACTCTTAAGATGTGATAACATCAGCCTTACCATCAGGGGTCATTTCCCTGCCCTTTCTTCAATGTAATATGTGCTGTCTCTTGTCATCAGTGTTGCAGTCTACATTGCAAAAACAAGTAAATCTCCGTGCAACAGGATAGGTGAATACAAGTTTGACATCAAAAATAGCTGCATTCAGAAGCCAGTGGGAGAATGTTTCAGTCTCCTGGGACACTGCTGCTGACCTGAGCATTGTCATTCTAAAACAAAGGAACTTCAAAGGAAAGTTTCAGCATGAAAATGTTGGATTAAAATCAATCAAGAAATGTGATTCTCTTTGTTTAGGCCTGAATAGAGACAATGGTTTCCTCTCCCGGTGCAGATATTAATTAACACAGATCTAGTATGATTCTTGTTATATCGCAGCTTCTGTGGCTAATAATCGTTGTGCTCATCTGACATCCATTTGTGCTTTAGATAAAATTGTTTCAGGTTGCTTCTTGCATTTTGCGCTCATTTGGCCCCACAGGTTCCTTTTCCCCACATGTCCATATCCCACCCACCCCCCCGCCTACATTTGCTGAAATGATTGCTTGTCCAAGAAAAGTTTGCCAGTCTTTAAGGTACCCTAAGACTTTCATGTTGTTGCTGCAACACAAGTTTCCTATGATGAGCTAGCAACCGAACAGAGCCTGATCTTATAAACATGATTGGTTATTGTTAATTTGCCATAAGCATTGGAATTGCCTTCATTTGCCATAACTACTGACTTCCATCCAATAAGGATTTTGACTGCAGCCTTTACTATTCCAACAGAAATAACAGGGTTGAGCAAAATAATCAGGATTGTAATCAGGCAGGTTATTTGCTCAGGAATAAGTGCACATTGCCCTCATTTGGATTGGTGCTCTGCAAGAGTAGTTTGAGCTTGCCAACCCGTTCATATTCATCCCTTGGGGGGGGCACAACTCCGTTGACTTTAATAGTGCCAATTCATTCTTCCTTTTTAATATATACCCTCCAGATGGCTGGGGGATGCTGGGAATTGTAGTTCAACACACTGGAAGGCTGGAATATATTTATTACTTGTTCTAAACAACTTGGAGAGCCTCTGGCTAATTGGACTGTATATTAAAGCTTTTATAAAAAAAATACACACTGTCATTGTTGTAGAAAGCTCTTTCACATGTTAACTGCTTTGCAGGGTTCCCGGGCCATCCTACAGGGCCAGCCTTTCCCCCTGACAAAGGCATCTCCACTGACAAAGCTAACATGTGAGCTTACATGTGTGTGAGTTTTCATGTGACTGGGATGCATGTGCAATCCAAAGCCCCATTTGTGTGGAATCCTCTGCATGAACCTCTCTTTGTACACAAACGTCATCAGTGCACGTGTCCACACCAGCATGTGGATTTCAAAGGATGGTGCCCGGATCATGGTCCCACATCCTGGTAATCACATAAAGTGCCCTTCACATGATTAACGAGTGAAGGAGCCATCATTTTGTTCGCCTTCTGTATCACATTTACAGAGGTAGTGAGAGTGTGCATTGTTGTTACACAGTTTAATTGCTCTTCAGGAACCAGTTTTCCCAAATATTTTCTCATTTGCATGGAGAATGCCTTGCCCTGTGTACGCCCAGTTGATCCCTGAGCTCTTCAGAGGAGGCCTTATTGGTCATTCTGCAGCCACAGAATGTCACCAGAGAAGGGCATGGCAGTGGACTTGCCCACCAGTGGCACCCATCCTCTAGGATTCTCTGCCGTAAGTAAGCCAAGTGGCAGCTTCAGGCACCATCTGATAACATATTTCTTTACGCAGATTTTCCCTCAGCTGCCATGGGCTGTCCCCTTACTCTGCTTTATTGCTTGGTCTGCTGCAATTAGCGTATTTTTCGCTCTATAAGACGCACCTGACCATAAGACGCACCTAGTTTTTAGAGGAGGAAAACAAGAAAAAAAAATATTCTGAATCAAATGGGCACATAATCACAGGCACATTCCCCATCACTTCCCCATGGGCTGCACATCTGACAGACTTACTGCACACACATATTCGCTCTATAAGATGCACAGACATTTCCCTTACTTTTAAGGGGGGCGGGGAACTGCGTCTTATAGAGCAAAAAATACGTTATTTATTATTTTACATCGTTCATATATTTTTGTTATGTTTTAGTGTGAACTGCTTAGAGGTGTTATATTAAGTGCTAAAGCAGTATAATAAATAAAATTACATTAAAATTTTGTTTCATCGTTCTGGCAATGCCTAACCATATCTTGATATCAAATACTAATTGTATTTTAAATTCCTAGGATTAATGTTAAAATCATGATTAGTTAGACATTAGAAAACAGAAAAATCCTTTAAAATTTAATAGAAGTTTTTTTCTTTTCTCCATTTTACCAACCATCTTGCAATTGTCTGTGAATTAAACTGCAATGTGTTTTTAATATCTGTGGTTTTTTCTTCTTCTTTTCAGGCAGGAACAAGTAAGTGTTCTGTATCAGAACATCAATATAGTGGAGCCACGATTAATTCAACCTTATGAACATGTCATTAAGAACTTTATTCGAGAGATCAAGCTTCAGAGTACAGAAATGGAAAACTTAGCCATAGCTGTAAAAAGGTAAGAGTCAATTGTTTTGTACTCTCCAGTTAAACAGTTGCCATTTTGTCTCCAGTACATGAGTTGCCTAAGATCACATGTTAATGGCAACAACTATTAACATGCATGCATCTAATTCTGGATGAGAACTGAAGGTGCAAGATGCCAGAATCAACAACCTGTGGCCTTGGAATCTCTGTGGGGCACAAGCCAGTATTCTTTGCCATGCCAAGCCATACTGAGACACAAGCTACATGTGTTCTTTATGCATATATCATACAGCTATATCAGTAGGGTTAGTTTCCTTGTACAAAAGTAAGTGCAGGAAGCAAACCCAGATCAAAACTCTCTGCAGAGAGGTAAAGAGGCATGGCTAGCTAGGGAGTGCTGGGAATTTATTACTTATCTGGATGTCACCAGGTTGGGGAAGACTGCTTTGCCCTCTGCTGTGGACTCGAATGAGATCAGGAGTCCTATTGCCCGTCATTAGAAGAGGAAGACAGTCTCCTGTTGAAGTGAATGGAGGATTTTCTCCTCTCCATGCAATTCAGGCTCAGCCCTCAATGTGGAACAGGACCAAAGTAGGGACAGAGAGTCAAAGCTAGAGTCCTGATCCAGATCAGGTTTCCCTATTCTTACATTTTGGTAGAGGGGAAAAAACCCTGGAAAAGTTAATGTCTAAATAGGCCCTGGCCTAAATGGACAGTTATGCTTTATGACCCAAGAGGAGAGCAGCTGGGCATCCAACTTGCATGCTGTGCTTACTTTGAGTTTCTTTCCTCTGGAGTCACATTGCTCATTTAAGGTATCCTGACCATTGTAATTCTTTCATATCCTCTCAGAAGTGCCTTGGAATGCAAAGTTGTATTTAAAAAGCAAATCTCTCTCATACAAAGCAATATTTAATATTATAACTGGTTATAAAATGTTATGACAAAATGGTATAAGAGCTAGTCCCATGTGATGTTTCAATGGGCCTTGCTGTTTCTGTATAGTCAGTTTCCTTCATTCTTTAGGAACATTTTAGGTCTGGGATGTTTGTTTTCTTTGTGGTCATTTGTGTCTGGAATTTGGGGAATGAAATCCTATAATTCAACAGAAAATTCTAGTTTCTACCAGGAAATCATGGACACAGTACTGTTTGGTAAAACTACCGTAAGTGTAATTATTAATATGGTAGAATCTGTTTAGCTTTTTAATTATTTTTTTGCCTCCTTATGTGGTTCTTCCTAATTTTTTTTAGGGCTGCCCTGAACATACTCCCTCTTTGTAGCTCAGTGATCCCATCTTGGCCACAGTCCTGGTATCACTCACTAGCTAGAGGAAGTAGGATAGATGACTTTTGAGCCATCTTGTGCCCTGGTCAGGTCATTTGACTGGGATCAAGTTAATATATGCTGAGGAAATTGAGCAGTTGCAAATGCAGAATTCTTCACAGATTGGTTTCCTTCATGCTGCCATGAGGAATAAAAAAGGCCTGTTCTCAGCAGTGTGCAGAAAATGTGACATATCTTAGATATTTGGCACTTCCTGTACTGAGAGAACTGAATTACTTCAATTGAGTTCTGAGAAGCAGGTGTCTTTAATTTGGAGTGTAAAACTTCTTCCCTGTTTTTCAGATAGCCAACTTGGAGCATTTCGAGCCACCTGTTTAATTTAGGGGTGGAGTGAACCATGCATGTTTCCCTGTTACTGCTGACATTTATGAAAGTTTTACACAAATGTTTCCTTTTTTAGAGCACAGGATAAAGCGGCAATCCAGCTTGGGGAGCTAGAAGAGGAGATGGACCAGCGGATACAAGCAGCAGAGCACAGAATACAGAAGGAGGTGAGAAGTCAATTCTTATATCACTAATATCCTAGAGGGGTTTCTCATCTGGACATAAATAATGGCAGAATTCTGATTACGGTTCCTCAGACTGAGCCATTTCTCTGCATTCTTTTCATCTTCAGTTTGCCATTAATGTGAAAGATATGAAGGTCAAAACTTTATCTTGTTATGGGGGCTTTTGGGGTGGAACATATTTATAAGGAAAGTCTGGGGCGAGGCAGGAAGATGCATGTAATAGCTTATTGGCTTATACTATCATTAATATGTCAGCAGAATAGCAATTGAACGTCCAATTTGAAGATAGGTTAGTTTGAAGAAGACCCCTTCTAGCTGCCTTCCTGATATGGTGCTCTCCAGGTGTGTTGGATCACACACTTCTGTGTGAGCTAGAGCGTATATGTGCACTTTCCGAAAAACAAAGTTCCCAACTGCTGTAGGCAATGCAGGGCCAGTCACGCGGGTTTCCAGTTGTTGACCTTATAGAAGACTTTTGATTCCCCTGTGAATGAAATGCTATTGCCAATTATAAGAGCTACATTTCTAGATCAGCCTTTCCCAACCTGATGGGTAGGACTACATTTCCATCATCCATAACTAATACCAGTCAATATGTGGTGGAGTTTGGTGGAAACTGTAATCCAACCCATCTGTAAGCCAATCCAGGTTGGGGAAGGCTGGTCTAGCTAGTATTGGCTAATTTACTACCAAAATTCAAAGACCGGAGAATGGGGCTGGCTCTGATGACTTATTTTTCTTATCATTTTTTGGCAATGTGCTTATCCTGCCCCATTCTTTATTTGTGTATCTCTGAATGAGTTTGACACCCCAAAAGTAAATGCAAGGCTGGTATGATATTTACTTTGTGGGATAGTACCAAACTGTAAATTTTAATGGTGACCATGCATGCTATTACTGCACTGGCTGACTTATGGCACAGTCTGATTGTACTGTGTGTGCATAAGGGGGTTTCCTTGCTTCGTGGGTGGGGATGTGTGACGCATTAGCAGTCCCTTACAGCTGTTTCATGTGCATGTCCACATGTGAATGCTTTTAAGGTCAGTCCCCAGTGATTCATTATTATTATTATTATTATTATTACTATGTTATTACATTTATATCCCACCTTTCCTCTTCTTGCAAGGAACTCAAGGCAGTTTACAAGATTCTTCTCCTTTTCCATTTTATCTTTAGAACCTACCTCCCCTATGTGGTAGGTTAGGCTGAGAGCCAGTGAGTGGCCCAAAGGCCTGTGAGCTCCAGGACTGAGTGGGGACTAGAACCCAGACCTCCTGAGTCCCAGTCCAACATTCTAACCACCATGCCATACTGGCTGGCTTTGGATTCGGAGACATGTGCCCTTTCTACACAAGAGGACATGGTAAACTACTTCAATCTGCCATCTCATGATATCACAAAAATGAATTGTTACAGGAGAAGCGGAAAGCAGAGGAAGCTCTGAATGATCTCAAGCGTCAGTATGAAGCTGAAGTTGGTGATCTCCAGGTGACAATAAAGAAACTCAAAATGGTACGTAGCCCTAGTTTTGTGAGCAGACATATGTGACTAAGGACATTGCTTTCTGTTAGCAGTAAATGAATAATATTATCCATGCTTATAGTTTTGTGAATACCACTTACCTAAAAAGCCTGTGATATGGATTAATTACCTTTAGATAGGGAAAGTAATTTTTTGTCAATTGGAAAATGGTTGGGGGTTTTCCAGGTTATTGGCAGGTTACAAATGGCTACCATTGGTAGGACTAGTGATTTCTGTGTATGGATTATTAACTTTTGAACTCTTATTTTCAAGGCTGGGCTGAGCACTTTATAGAAAACAAACAAGGAAACACACAAACAATACCATTGTATTTTAATAGATGGCTTGATCCCTTTTGTAAGATCACAAGAACCAAACTGGATCAAGGGGCCATCTGTACCAGTGTTCTGTTTGCCAAGTAGTTAAGCTGTGGGACATTAGTACAAGAGTGTCCTGCTGTACGTAGGAATACTGCCTCTGATACAGGAAGCAGCATATAGCTATGAGGACTAATAGCCTTTAATTGCCTTGCCTCTGTGAATTTGCCCAACTCTCTTTAAAGCCATCCACTTTGGGAGCCATCATTACTTCCTGTGGTAGTCAGTTCCATAGTTTGACTATGCATTGCGTGAGGAAGTACTTGTATCTGTCCTGGCTGTCCCACCAATCAGCTCCATAGGATAACTACAAGTTATAGTATAACAAGGGAGCAAAAATATCTCTCTATCCCCTTCCACAATTCTGTACATTTCTTCTGTTTCCCTCCATCTTCATGTTCTAACCACTGGGTCTGCATGATTGCCACAGAGACGGGTTGCAGCACATGTTGGGTGACTTTTTATGCATTACTTGTTTTAGGGTTGTGAGTGGTTTGTTAATGATGTCAACAAAGTTTCAGATGCCATGATAAGCTACCTGTCCACAGAACAGGCCACTGGGTTCCTGGATCATGTGAACTTGTCCAATAAATTGGTCAAAGATTTTTAATTAAAAAACATTTGTTACTGTTTCAGCTTGAAGAACAATCTAGAAACATTAGTCACAAAGAAGATTTGACAGCACTGAAGACCAGGATCCATGATCTGACCTTGGTATGGATGTCATATGACTTGCCAACTGTGTAATTCCCTCTGTCTTTTTCAGTATGCCAAATATCTTTGTAAATAAGCATATTTAAGTAGTTTGTTGAGTAAATAGCATTTCCTTTAAAATTTGTAAGGTTGTAGGAAGGGGATTGGCATTTCAGAGAGAGGAAATTATGCTGTTCGGTATAATGTGAATTTCTAGTTGCTTAGGATTAGGGCTGTTCAAGGTAGGAAGGATGCTCTTTTACCCTGTCCCTGGAAATAGCTTTAAACAATTCTTTCACTCATGAAAGGAATGCAGGCCCAGTTCCTTCACTCATGGAATTTATTTTATTTTGAAATAAAATTAAAAATACAAGTAGCAACAAAGTAGAATGTAATAACAGCATGGCAAATAAAGAAATAAAGAACTTCATCGATTATAATCTTTAGTTGTTCTACAAATGTATCTTTGATATAGTAGAGTAAAATAGCTTATGGAGAAATTCATCTAAGAAAAAACTAGGTATATATTCACTGTAGCATAAATAAGCAGTATAAGTTTGTGCATATCAGAAAAAAGATAGGCAATTAGAATTAGATCAGAAGTTTGAAGGACTTCCTTACTTCCTCATAGAAATTAAATGAAAACCATGGCACCATAATGCATTAAAAGAAAAATTAGGATTCCTTGTGTAATGCATTTGCTCAGCAAACTGGTACATGATCATAATGTGGCGGATTGTATCAGTCAACTGCTGCAGTTGCTTTGGAGACTTCCAATGATGTGCTGTTCTCAACTTTGTTTCTGTACGTAGCTGCTTGAGAATGTGTTTATGCAGGAATCCAACATCGTTGGGTTCAAAATGACAAGGACGCACATCTTTCAGAATCACCAGTTGGTCTAATGTGGAAAAATTCCTGAAAAGGATTAGTAACCAAATTCCAGAACTCCCATTGGTTGTTCCCAACTTGTTCCTTAATATAGAATCTCTCAAGTTCAATTTGGCTTATACTTACCATACGAAGCCTGGTTTAAGTAACTTCGTAGTCTCTGTTTCTTCACATTGTGAGCCAAATTGTGTATTGCTGCTTGCCATGTCGATCATCTTTCGGTGCATGAAGTGTCTCTGTTGCCATCACCACCACTACCAGAGAGAGAAATGGCTGGATGTCCCTGTATATGTTGGGTAGCCTGCATTATACCTAGTCTCTGGAAAGCCACCACGTGAATGCTATTTGTAGCAGTTTCCCTGCATAGTCATAATATGTAGAGTGGCCATATATGTATGGCACACACCTTCGCTAAATAAATGACAGTGAAGACCATATATTTCTGTATCTCCAGTTCATTGTTAATAGCCTTTAAATGGGAATTATTAATGTTTATGTATTCGTGAATAAACATTTTGGCTTTTTTGTAATTCTTCTTGATGAATCATTTTAACTACCTTGGTTTATTAAAATAGGAAAACCAGAAACTTAAAAAAGATCTTATGGAAGCACAGACAAATATAGCTTACCTTCAGAGTGAACTGGATACCTTGAAAAGTGATATTGCAGATCAGAGTCTGAACTCAGAAAGGTAAGTATGCAGGTATTCAGGAAATAGTTGTGTATATATGTATACTTTTGTCCAGAAAGAGAGTTAATTGTGCTAATTTTGCTTTGTAGAGACCTAGACATGATCAGAGGCTACACTGAAGACAGAGATAGTCTGGAAAGGCAGATTGAGATATTACAGTAAGCTGCTAAATAATTCACTTTTTACATTCAGGAATTTTGTTATTTATAACTTGGACATCTGGGGTAAGGGGAGACAGACAAGTGGATATTTTTGACTGTGTGAAACTTTTCTCTGGTGCCCTTATCTGTCTTTTCAGTCAGCCAACCTGAGATATGAAATATCAGGGGTGGGTGATTGTGCCATTGGGCTGCATTATACTGAAGGCTCTTTGTTTACATCTCTACATTTTACAGTGAGCTGCTGCTTTCAGTCTACTCAGACACGCATCAACCATTCATTTGTTGTTTTGTATTCCATTTTCACACAGAATGGGTCCTAACATGGCTCACATTGTAGCCATGTAATCTTTGTTTGCATTACTGCCAGGCAGTGAGATACTGGTACGTTTTGAAGTTCATCACAGCCCCCATACCCACAACCCCCTAAACAGACCACAAATACAGGCAGCTGTGTTCATCTGTGTCAATAAATTAGTTCTTGCAGTTTCTGTCTTCATCAGTATGCGGGTCTCTTGCAAAGCTAATGGGTCTTAATTCCCCATTCTAGACCAGGCCATACAAAAGACCTTGTGCTACAACAGGAAACAATATGTTCCTTGCTGTGTTCGAAGGAGACTGAAAGGTCCAAGGTGTGGCAGTCAATATCAGCATCCCTGCTGATAAAAAAGTGCGGTGTTCCTGTGTGACTTGGTTCCAATACACAACTGTTCTCGTGTATCTATTGGTTCTTCCTTATGGCTTCCATGACTCACACACAGATTAGGTGCCTGTGCAGTGCAGTCCATTAGGAGCACTCCATAGGTGCAGAGAGCTTTAGGCAGGAGTCCTGCTGTCGCCTGTGCATATGCTGGGAACGGCTCCCATTGGCCTCTCAGTTCCTTGTCATCTGCTGCTGCTGCAACAGCAGCATTTGGAATTCTTTGAAGAAGAAATCCTTACCCTCCTGATCAAGCACATGATAGGAAATCTTCTGATAAGAAACCAGTTATCTTGCGGGTTAGCAAGGGTACTTTGTGGGCCTCACAAAGAATGAAGACATCCACCATAATCGTATCTACTGGATGTCAACAGCTTCATTGCACCCCCCGCCCCCCAATTTGCCTGGTTTTATAGTCCCATTAACCCTCTGTCCTGCCCATTCCTAAAGTTTGCTCTTGGCTAGAAACTTCTCCAGTTTATTGTCTTCCTGTTTGCATTGCTACAGTACTGAGAGTCTTTGCAAAATGGATGGCAGTCATCACATTGTTCTTAAGACTACAACCAATTGTGGTTTTCCCTATATTGATTATTGGCTCTTTGTCACGCACTTCCAACAATAACACTCCTCCAATGTGAAAATTGCCCTCTCTTCTCTACAGTAACTTGGCCTCCAATCCTATCGTACACTGTCTTGAACCCAATTACTTCATTGGAACTGTTTTCAGCAGGGCTTGAGCCCTAGGCTTCTTGCCAAGAGATAGCACATTCTGTGGCCTCTGTGGCAAACGATCTTGCAACTGTTAGTACTGTAGGACAATCATAGTCCAATCCCTCTAGGGACTCATGATTTCAACAAAATTGGTCACCCTGTTAGTCCACCTCAAAATGAGATGCCTTATGTCCTAGTTTCTAAGAACTTTTGACCTTAGGATCCCAACACTTTTCACCACTTTCTACCTGTCCCAGTCAGACATGGTGGGCCCACCTACATCACCTCAGTTTCTGGGATTGGTGCGTCCAATGCCGTTATCAGCCCTTCACAGAAATGTCCAGAACTCTGGAAGATGCTCTCAAAGGATCAAGGCCTTTACCTTGGAACCTGGACATGACCATGGTGGAAAAACCATTTATATCAAAATAGACCTGTTTGGCACAGCCCAACCCACAAAATATCTGCTGTTCTGCAGCAGTGTAGACCACAATCTGCAATCCTGGAGATGCCTTTTCCTTCACTGGAGAAAAGACCCAGTATATGCTTTTCCTCCCACTTCTCTAATCGAGACTTCAATTAAGAGTAAACCCAGGAAATTGTAAGGATTTTTCTGTTAGCAGCAAAACATACTTTACAGGGGAGGTATGTAGCATCTGCTAATGTTCCTCTGGAGTGTCTCAGTTCTACAGTGCCTTTCTCAAGTGCCGTTTCCTTCAACTGAAAACCTGTTGGAACTGTGACTTTTTAAAAAGAGCTAACTGGTTAACACCTTGCATTGGGCATTATTCAATGTAATGACTGCTAATGTAAGGTAGATTGCCTCAGTGTAAGGGCCTTGTGTTAGCCAGTTCAATGCATTTTCCTGGGAATCCAGTATTAATGGTACACCATACCATTCTTGATTATATTGAACCTTCATACCATCTTCACTGGTATTCCATGAAAGCAGAGAAACACCATTACATTCCCTTCTTTCTCCTGAGTTTCATAATGCCTACTTATAGGATACCTGACCTGTTTTGAATATGAATCATTTGTTTCCCCTGGTTTATTCCTTAGGTTGGCTAACAGGAAACTTCACGACAGCAACGATGGCTTAAGAAGTGCATTAGAGAATAGCTGGAGTGTATACAACAGATCACTGGTAGGTATTAATATTGCATATCTTCTGTGTTCAGATAATTGTGCAATAGATAAATATTTGCTCTTGGATATACCAATATAAGCCATAAATTAGAGGCATTAAAATAATACAGTCCTTTGGGGTTCATGCCAGAGTAACTGGCAGCACAATGTGGTGTTTATTTACTTGGAAGTAAGCCATGCTATCTTTAATGGGGCTTATTCCCAGATAAATTTACATAGAATTGCATCCTGGCAGGGTGATCATATATATGTTTACTTAGAAGAAAGTCCCACTAAGTTCAGTGGAATATACTCCTTGCTAAGTGGGTTTAGCATCATGGCCTGACAGTAAATTTTTGATCCTGTATGTAACAAACTTCTCTCTTCTTTGTAAAATATGCACAGTGTATGTGTGTATCTTCAGTTAAAATATTTAAAGTACTAAATAACAGAAATCGTTCATTTGTATCCTTCTCCCTATGAGTAGATAATAGAAAAAAGGCTTTCTGCTGTTATGCAGTTCATAGACTTTCCAAAATAAAGTAAAAATAATCTGCAATCAAGAAGCATGTTAGTTAAATAAAGGAAGTGGAATGTTGTCATTCCACGTATTCTGTGGTGTACTGAAACACTTCCCTTATGTGCCTTTTTCAGCGGCTAACAAACATTTCCCCAGGGAACACGCTATGCCGAAGCAGTCCCAAGAGTGGTGGTGGTCAGTCTCCTCAAAATCCCCAGTATGACAGGTAAAACTGATCTGAAAACGTAATGGATAGATTTTGGCAGACATTCTGTAAAACACAAAGACATCAGCTAAAATGGATGGGACTTGATTCTAAGGAACTGTATTTAGATTGCAATAGTGCTCTTTCTTAAATGCTTAAAAAAGAAATAAATGGTACAGTAAAGGTAGAAATTTGTATTGCTGGAAAAACACAATTGTGTTGAAAAAGTCAGAGATCGGCTCCTTTCCTGCAAATCAGTTCTGTGGAAGGAGAAAGCTGCTACCATTTGAAACTTGTCTTGCAACCCTAATGCATGGTTATAATGCATTAATGCATAACGGGACATGGACAGAGCATAAACTCTCATCAGCAATGCAACGATTGGCTGTTTGCTCCTTGCTGCTCTCTAGTGGCGCGAATGATTATCAAGCAACAAGGGACAGTCTTCTGCCAGTGATGGATTTTGTCCCAGGGAGAAACAATGCTAACATGTCCATGCAAAGTGCTCTTGAGCAAGACTGTTATTTCTACTTCCAAGAATTGTTTTGTAAATTTAGGTTTGGCAATGCACCATTTCCCCAAAATTTCAGAAGACACCTTCAAGGAATGCAAGGTTTCTCCATGGTTCAGCACCTTTTTCTTGAAGGTACCTTTTTGTTAAAATACACGCACATGACTTCACATCAGGTACAGAATTTGAAAGCCTTCTTTTTCACCTCAACAGAGAGACTGAGCATCAATTAAGCTCCAGTAGTGCACCTTTGTGCTTTTTAAAATGTTTCACTAGAACTGTACCTCAGGGATTTTCGGAACAATCATTCAAGCTTAAAAGGTGATTAACTGAGCTTTAGCTTTTAAATGCATATGGGGTCTTTATCATAACAAATTAGGATCAGCAGGCCTCTCTGTGCCCTGATTGCCCCAAATTTAAGTTATAAAGCCTCTTTTATCAGAAATTTGTTAAAGACCCAGCTTTTCACACAAGCCTTCCCTGAATGAGTTCACTACACAGTTTAGGTACTCTGCTCTTAGCTTTGATTTTATGTATCTTAAACATTTAGATTGATGAGTGTACTGTTTATTATGATATCGTTTGATCTCTGATTCTATACATTTCTGTAAACCACATGATGATGATGGTATGTCTTTTCCAGCATACACTTTATATATTTCCTTTTATGAAAGAAGGGTGGCCATAGTTTTGAGAACTGCAAAACAAGAATCTGCTTAGTTTCTGTATATAACAGGGCCTAGTTCTATTTCCATCTTTCCTTGCCACAGTTTGGAACCAAGGGGGATGTGGGAAGGAAAGGAGATGGTGACGGTTGTAGCAGCAGCATAATCTTCAACATTTCAAGGTAGCAAAGGGAGGGAAGCCAAGAGCACTGGCCTGGGCCAAGGTACATGAGACAAGGGGCTTGAAGAGATGTAAAAATAAGAGCTGTCCCTGGAGCTCCTCTGTAAAGAAAGAAGGAATTGAAAAAATGTTTTTCCTGTAAACATAAACATATATATTTGTATGCAGATGTGTAACTTTGGCATTGGCCATTGTTGCTTTTCCATTTGTGCTGTCCAGGTCATCTCACTCATCATATGTGGATGAGGACTATGATTCTCTGGCGCTTTGTGATCCGATGCAGAGGATAAATGGGGAGGTTGACAGCCTGCCCGAAAGCTGCTTTGACAGTGGCATGTCTACCTTGAGAGACTCGAATGAATATGATTCAGAAGTGGAATCCAAGCATCAAAGGATTTCTCAAAGGTCACAGTGTCCGCAGGAAAGCTTTCCAGGCGATGCTTCTGACACAGATGTAAGCTCTGACTTAGCACATTTTAAAAATTGTGCAGAGACGAAATTACTTCTTGCTACCTGTAGAGTGAAAATGCGCTTTTCATTTAATGCAGAAATAGTCAAGTGGAGAAGAGACTGTTGTGGGTGGGGTGGGAGGAAAGGGAATGAATTACTGCCTTCAAATTCTCAGACTGATCTATGAAGCTCATGCACAAGAGAAAGAGGAAAGGAAAACATCTCTGGCAAAGCTAGGGAATATTTTGCAGCCAGAGGGCAAAATGGGCCCCAGGCTAGGATCTCAGTGGGCAAACGTGCTGCAGGCATTTGCTGCCCCCTCCCTGTTCCCACACATTCTCTCTCTTGCTCTCTTACACACACACACTCATATCCTCCTTCCCAACACCCGACTCACACACATTCTGGTTCAGAGTTTCCTCAGCCCTGGCCCTTCTTGACAGAGGCAGGGCAAGTGACATTCAGGGGAAATGTGGCTTTGAGGTGCCAGGAATGCCTTGCATTAGGAGCCAGCCAGCCAGCTTCTTTTCTGCTCTCGCTTTCTGAATGGGAGAGTGAGGAGGGTGTCAAGCAGGCACACCCACCATCTTAAGGAAAACCAATGGTGGAACAACCTTGGCTTCTGATGAGGCCCCCAGCTGGAGAGCTTGCTCTGTGGCTCTTCCCTTTTACTGAGGGCAGTGGGAGGGACTCTAGGGGGAGCTTTGGCAGGTGATCTCCTTTCTCCTCCTCGGTGAGCAGCCAAGTGCATTCCAGCTGTGATCTGCGGCAATTCAGGCGACATTATGAAGCTTGTTGTGTCCCACCATTGAAAATAAGGAAGACGGATGTAACGATTTTGTCAGCTATTGCACGTGATGAATTGCCTGCATTAAGGCAACTCCACACATAGGAGGGGAGTGGGAGCCCTACCACCTGCTTCACTACCACAGTCATGCAGCAACTTGGCTCAGTCCCCTGCCAACCCCCATTTATGCAGAAGTTCTTGGAGCAAGAACTTCTGGATAAGAAAGGCCATTCGGCAGAGCTGGGTGTACAGGCTTTTGCATATCTGGAACACCTGGGAGGCAGGGGTGGGGAGTCACAGGATGGCAGGGAGGCCAGCAGTGTGCCCCCTCCCTCCCTCCCGTGGAGTCCTTTTCATGCATGTAACACATGAATGCTACAGGGAAAGCAGACCTGACAACTGAACTTAAGCCTTTCAGTTTCTCCTTGGAACCTCTATCAAGTTCATCATAATGTCTAGTGGTTGATTTTGTCAATTCTGAAAGTGTCAATTTTGATCAGTCGTATTGAAGGTCTTCCCCTGTTTATAAGTTTTCCCACAAAACTTCAAATGCTGGATGTAGCTGCTGTTTTTGATTGGCCTGGTTTTAGTTTAAACTTGTGAGGTCACTTCTGTTTCTCCCATCAGGCATTTCCATTTGGCAATTAGTGCTAGCTATATGGCAGATTGAGGGGAAGTTCGTCTTGTGATGCAATCTGGTGCCAGCCTATCATTTATTTATTTCCAAGCATTGCTTCTGGCCCTCTTTGCTCTGCTAATGTTCTTACCGCAACGCTCTGATCAGCCTTTGGTCTCATCCCTTCCCGTGGCAGAAAGACTGAGTTGGGGTTATTACGGAAACTGGTAACTGTTCCTGTTTGTGCAGGTGCCCGATATCCGAGATGAAGAAGTCTACACTCCTGACGAAGCCAGGAGTGTCTTGGATTGGAAACCCGCCCAGCCAGTCAGTCGAAGTAATTCTGGAGCATCCACAAGGAAGTGCATCCCTGTCATCTCTCCACAGGTATTCGGTCCCTAACCTCTTTGTGTCAGTCTAGCTATCACAACATTTGTATTGTTCTCACAAAACCTGATTGGTGTTTTACTATAATTATTAGATATATTATTAAACTTCTTATCCTGAATTGTTTTATCCATGAATGTGAAGGATCTTAGTTTGGACCTTCAGCACTTTGAAGTAACTGCTAAGAAAATTAAGAACATAAGAGGACAAATCCCCTAATGAACGTAGGCTTCTGTTTACTACTGTCCTGGCTTTTTATTTTCCTTTTATTTTTGATCATGTTTTAGAGTGGGTTGAATCAGATCAAATTTGTCATCTCCCCTACACTCCTTTGTGTTCCCCCACAATCTTCTAGACAGTTGGAGGGGTCCCTGGAACAGGTTTCCTGTGTGGGGCGGGGAAGGAACTGCTTGCCCAATAGGAAGTCTCCTTAGGTAAGGGGCTGACTTTAACCCACCGTGAAGGAGCATGTTCCTTGATTTGCCTGCTGCTAAGCTGTTTCATTGGATGATCCCAAGTCCCACTATTAGGAAAGGAAAGAAATTTGCCTAATGTCTCATATAAAAAGTCCTCCCAAACTTTCCCTTTCCTTCTAGGAAAGTTCTCTAACTCTCCTGCACCAATCTTTTTGGTTGTCCTTTTCCTTACCTTTGCCATTTCTTGAGATCCTCGCTGAGATGAGATAACTGAAACGAAACAAAATTCAAAATTATCCTGTATTATAACATTTATATAAAGCACAGGTGGGGAATGTGTGGTCCTTCAAATGTTTTTGGGAGTCCACCTGGAGGGCTACAGATTCCCCGTCCTTGATATAAACGCATTACATTGATGTTGACGATGTTGTTTTCAGTCCCTTCCTTCCCAATGGTAGTTAACATAGGATTTGCCTTGTTTGCTGCTGTCTGCTTACATACCAAGCAAGTTTTTCCACTGAGCTATCCATCGTATCCCCAGATCATCACCATCATCATTCCAGATCATCCTCACAAACAGTTCAGATCCCATTAATGTCTATGTGGCTTTGCAGTTTGTTGCCCATATGTTTCAAACTTATTCTTCGTGTTCTTTGAGCTTACAAATTTGGCTTAGTAATGATATCATTAATACACTCAGCAAGCTTGTACCAATGTCGGTCTGGTGTTGTGTTTGTTCTGTTTAGTCGGACTCCGCAGACTGCAGCTCCAGATACCCAAGCTCAGAGAAGGCTTACAAAATAGTTCTTGCCGGGGATGCAGCAGTTGGAAAATCTAGCTTCCTTATGAGGCTTTGCAAAAATGAGTTTCGTGGGAACACCAGTGCAACTCTAGGTACCTGCTCTTTTTAAAATGTTGCCAGTTGTCTCGACAGCCAAAAATTCCTGGAGTGACTCTGCATCGATTATGAAAGACAGACATGTATAAATGGCAGCTTTTCCTGTTAATTATAGGCAATAGTGGACAAGAACTAATCCCAATAGCCTGTCAGGGTAGAATACATGGATTTATCACATTTTGTCATCAAATAAATCCTGTGAGGAACATTAGGCCGAGAGAGGAAAGAACTTGCCACAACTCATCTGTTTTTGCCTTGTGGCTGACCAAGCATGCAGAACCCACCCATGGTGCAAGGAGAATTGTGGTGGTCCAGGATGTAGCTCTCTTTGTTGGAATGGGTTTGGAGCATGAAGCCTCATGGTAGTTCAGCATTCTTCTGCTACGGCAAATCTTCAGAACAAGAAGCATGGACAGAGCTATATCAGGGGTGCAAAACTTCAGGCCTGGGGGACAAATTAGGCCCTCCAGAGATCCCAGGTTAATCGTCAGGGTTCCCCAGAAAGCCATACACCTTCTGCTAGCCCACCCCCTTTCCCCCATTCACCAACTATGTGTTGGTTTCCTAGTGGTTGGGCATCTTTCCCCTCTTTCTAAAAGGCTGAAAGGAATGGGAATAGAACACAAAGGATAGAAGTAGAGTTGGAAGGAGTCTAAGAAGGCCATCAAGTCTAACCCCTGCTCTGCTTCCACATGTGGTCACCCATACACCTTTTCAGCTTAGCAAGGGTGAATTGACATACTATCTCGATGTATAACTATGTGGCCTGGCATAGCTCTCCTAAATCGTAGCTACTGGTAATAAGAGCTTTAAAGTAAAACATACCAACCTGTTTTTATCCCATCCCATTTTCCCCACTCACCCACCCCTGGTGTGCATCCCTGAGCGATTCTCTGAAAAGATATTCAGAGCCTGCTCTAAACGAGGTTCTGCACAGTTGGGCTATAAATTGGCCGAGTTCAGACTGCGTGCTGAAACCACACTCTACCCAGCTGTGCTGACAAACCATGGTCTGATAACCACGAACAATTATTCCCATGATTTATCATGTTATGAACTGCGAGGAGTTCATGGTTAGTGATTTGTTAGTGCAGCTGGGTTCAGACAACATGGTAACACCCATTTCAGCAGTAATTTACCCTCCACCTAGAGTCAGCTCTTGAGGGTGCGTTTCATGTTTTCTGAACCCAGTCAGCCCCAGCTCGACACTCTGTTTTGCAAAAGGAAAGGCCTTGTTAGAATACACTCCTGTGCCTTTCATAGCTGATGTAATAAGTATGCAAGAGGTATTTTATTTGGGTATCTGTACCCTGTGCATGGTTTCCATAAAGAATCTTATCTGTGCAAAGATAATACACATTTATAGTCTATTAATGGAACATCTAATCTGAAGTCACAGTTGGAATGCTACATTCCTGTCACCCAGTAAGTGCATGGGTGAAACACTTAAAATTAACTTTGCTGAAAGCTCCATGCAATTATTCATTTGTAATTGCATTGGCGATGCAGTTTTTCATGGATACCATTTTAAAATACTAATGGATTTTGTAATTAAAAAAAGTTTTTAAAGTAGGCCTTCTAAGTATACAAAAGTAATGACATTTTAATAGCAGGTGAACACCTTATGTGAATATTGTAATCACAACATGAATATACCTTCATTTACATATGAATGCCTACAACTTAAGATACACATTGAAGCAGTTCGCTCTTCCCTATCTGACACTCCATGTTCATTCTTTAAACTGGGGGTGGCCAAGTTCAGGAACTCTGGGGGTCATTTTTGTCCACAAACCCCATTCCCCCATGGGCTGCAGTCTTCTGGAAAATGAATATCTTTGTGTTTTAATGAAAAAAATCCAGAGCATTAGGGAGAAAGGTCAAATCCAGCTGCTATGGACCCCCAAAATGTAGCTTGCAAACAAGCTAAGTTTGTTCTTTTTAGTGCTCCGTCGTGTTCTGGACACCTTTTAAATTATTTTTTAAGAGCTTTATGGAGGGAACATAGGGACATTGAGGATGTTGCCTATCATTGCTTTAAGCATTCACTTATTAAATATATTTGCTTAATATTCACGAAAATTTACACAATTGTACATTTCCTTGTGCAAAAAACGTTTAACAATTAGACCACCAAGTTCTCAGTCAGGCTAGGATTCCCCTGCCTTCTTTCGCTAACCCTGGTTGTGGTTGTTAGTTTCATCTCACAACCAGGTCCTAGGCCCTTATCATCCACCCCATGAAAGGATTTTAATAATGTGAATTTCTTCAAAGGGGTTGACTTCCAAATGAAGAGGCTCATTGTTGATGGGGAGCCGACGGTGCTCCAGCTTTGGGACACAGCAGGACAAGAAAGGTGAGCATGATCTGGTTTTGCTTTTGGAATGAAAATAATGATCAATTTTTGTCTTGAGTAACTAAAAAAAACATTTAGGGCACAATCTTATGTATTGTTTCAGTGAGGAAAAAGGCCTATAACTCTTGTAGGTCCTTTTCTGTCTAAACATGCACAGGATTGCACCTTTATAGTGCCAGTCTTTTTACTGCCTTGCCCCTTATCCCCAGCTGCTTCTCCTTGCTTCCAAAATCTATTGCTTTTGGAATATAAAATGACTCACCACTGTCACCAGCACTTCCTAACAACCCCTAAACTTCCTAATTCCCATGGCCTCCCAATTCACAACCTTTACATTTTCATAGCACCATTCTGTTCTTTAAGTGGGAAAGACTAATTTCCCCACTTTTCATTTTCAAGTTAGGTGTATCAGAAACAATAGTCTGGCCCATAGACTAATGCACTGACAGACCAACTCAGCTGTTCCTCTCTTGTAACAAGCAAATGTGTTGAAAACATAAGTAAAAATCTCATTTGTATTTGTGTACTTGAATGGCTGCTTGAGCTTATCACCCTGTTTCAGAAGTCACTGTTCCCATTTCCTTAGAGTATGGTGCTTAAATATGCTGTATGTGCACCACAACTCTGGTTAAAGGCTTCCCTAGACCCGTGTTCATCATTACTTGTGTGTTCCTGAAAGTTCTTCATCGTGGCCTCTGTGCATCACACATATGGGTGCTGCACCTGCGCAGTGCCTAGGCCGGAAGATTAGAAAGCTAACGGTTTTTGGTGGGAAAACACTCCGCTTCCCTCCCCACTGCAGTATAAATAGAGCGGAGCGTCCGCCATTTTACTCAGTCTCTGCGACCGCCGTTTGCTGTGCCTCGTGCCTGCTCGTCTCTTGCTTAGATCTCGCCACGTGCTCCTTTATGGTTATCTTGTTCAACTTACCTTTTCCTCGTTATATATCCCAGTTTCTCTTTCCCGTGTTGTAGTACCTCTGTTCATTCTTTCTCTAAAAAAAACAAAAGACCAAAAATATTACTTACCCTCTGTACTATCATCTCTTTTTTCCTTTTCGCGATGGCACAGCGGGCAGCATTCCGCGAGTGTAGTGAGTGCGGCTCCAAAATGTCTCCCATGGACCCGCACGACTTATGCCTCCTCTGCCTCGGCGAGGGGCATAGGACCGATAAGTGCGGGCATTGCCTGGCCTTTACCAAACAAGCCAGGAAGAATAGGGAGAATCATCTCCGCAAGTTAATTTGGGACCAGGCCTTGCTTCAATCTGACCAGCTGGTCTCAAGGCCTACCCCCTCCTTGGCTGCACCGCCTCAACGCTCCACCTCTACCCCAGCCACGCCCCCTAAGCGCCCCACCTCAACTTTGGCCGCGCCGCCGCAGCACCCTTCGGATGAAGGCGCTGCTCCAACGGAAGCACAGCAGCTACCTTCTCTTCCAACCAAACAAAAGAAGAAGCGTAAGCATTCAGAGCCGGAAAGGCCCTCTGGCCATAAGAAGCCGAAGAAAGAAAAGGCGGCTAAGGCAGCCCACAAGGGCAAGAAACCCGATTGCTCCAAACACCGAGGCTCAGGTTCGTCAGGGTTCTCGGTACTGACTGCTGCCACAGTACCGACTCCCTCAGGACTGGCCCTGCAGTCCACAATGCAGGTGACGCCGCCGGGATCCCCCAGGCCTGTTCTTCAGCCTGAGAGCGTGTCTCCTCCACAGGTGCCACCGCTTAGGGAGTCCATCTCTGATGGAGAAATTAGAGATTCCCCGCCGAGGCAACGCTCCCCGACGTCAATGCCTGCTGTTGGGCCACCTGAGGGACCAGACTCTCCTTCTAGGCGTAGGAGCCGTTCGTCGGAGTGCCATGCAGATGACTAGGCTATGCACAACTATGGTGGCTATCCTGCCTGGAGTGGACTCCATCCATATGTCTTTTTTCCTCCGGACCATCGCTCGCCGTCGATCCTGAGAGAGGCACGGTCCACTTCTGGCCGTACGGAACGCAGACCTCCACCATCTCCTGAAAGCTCTTTGTCCAGTGAACATTACCACTACCATCAAGACTCGAACGAGTCGGAGGTAGACTCCACGTCTCCGGATGTAGCTATTACTTCTCAAGACCCGGGATCCCCGGATGAGCCCCATGTTTCTTTCTCAGAGCTGGTTTCTTGTCTAGTCCGGTCGCTGGAGATAGAGGCCTACCTCCGCCCCTGGCCCAGCACAGACCGGTTTTACGACATCGTCCGAGGGGAGCAATCTGCCACCATTGCTTTACCATTGATTACCACACTTTGCCAGGCAATGGTTCAGCCCTGGGACCAACCGACTCAGCCGCAGGCAACATCTCGCCGGTACGAATCTATGTACCGGGTCCGAGAAGACAACATCCCGTTCCTGCTGCGCCACCCAAAGCCTAATTTGGTGGTGGTAGAGTCATCCCAGGGCAGGGAGGCTCGGGGACATACAACACCCCAAGGTGAGGAAGGTCGACATGATTGCGCGCCGGGTCTACGCAGCTGCAGGGCTCGGTTTGCGTATTTCAAATTATGAGGCTACACTGGCACGTTACCAGTACTTCATTATGTAGAAGCTGGAAAACGTTGTCCCCTCCCTCCCAGACCAGCAGGCAGACCTAGCCAAGTTCTTCTTAAACGAAGCGAAGCAGGTGGCCATTCAGCAGTTGTCTACCGCGAGACATCACGTAGACACTGATTTTCGCGTCATGGTTAACGCTATCTCCCTCCGATGACACGTGTGGCTCAGGAACTGCAATTTCCCTGAGGAAATGAAGAGGAGGATAGAAGAAATGCCATTTGATGGCTCTGGCCTCTTCCATGGGAAGACCGATCAGAAACTCGCCATCCACGAGTCCCGTATGACGGCCTATCGAATGGAACTCCCACAAGCAAAATGTAAGTGGCCATGGTCCAGACCCTACGAGTGCCAGCAATATCAGCCTCGCCAGCAGTTCCACCAGCGCCAGCAACATAGAAGGCAACAGCCTCAACAGCGCTTCTCCCAGGGCTGTAGGTGGTTCGACACCGAGAAACGTCCCCATTGATGGTCCCGGTGAACCAGTTCATCTCTCCACCTCCCACATTACATCTGATAGGTGGGTGCTGTCCATCATTCAGCTCAGATATAGAATAAAATTCGACATCGTTCCACTGTTGAGCCCTATCCAATTTACACCGCCATCTTCAGTTCTGTGTGATGAAGTCCTTCACCTTCTTCATAAGGGAGCGATTCGACAACTCTCTCGCACTGATGGGCTACATGGATTCTATTCTAGATATTTTACAGTCCCCAAACAGGACGGTGGTCTTCGACCTATCCTGGATCTAAGAGGAGTCAATAAATATATCAAACCGAGGAAGTTCCGGATGACCACTTTACAGAATATTCTTCCGTTGCTGAGTGAAGGGGATTGGTTCGCCTCATTGGACTTGAAGGATGCGTATTTTCATATTTCTATCCATCCTTCCCATAGATGCTTCCTTTGTTTTACTGTTGGATCCGATATTTTCAAATTCAATGTTCTACCATTCGGACTGGCTACGGCACCGAGAGTCTTTACAAAGTGCATGGCCCCAGTTTGCACCCACCTACGGCTCTGGGGTATACAGGTCTACCCCTATTTAGATGATTGGCTAATTGTGTCACGGACTAAAGGCAACCTTTTAGCGGCTGTCCACGTGACTTGTGCTTTACTTGATGACCTCGGACTCTGTATTATCCTTAAGAAATCGTCACTTATTCCCGCACAGGTCATTGATTTCATCGGAACACGTATCGACTCCACCCTGCAAAGAGCGTTCCTTCCTCCGTCCCATAGGGCCACCCTGTGTACGCACATCCATTGGATTCGACGACAAAGGACAGTTCAAGCCATCACTATGCAAAGATTGTTGGGACACATGACAGCCTCAGTGGCCATCGTGCCGCATGCAAGGCTCAGGCTCCCCTCGCTCCAATTATTTTTCAACAACTCATTCCATCCGCAGCGGGACCTACAAACCAAGCTTCTGCGGATTCCATCTTCGATCCTTCACACCCTGATGTGGTGAACTATTTCACGCAACCTATCTGTAGGCGTTCCGTTCCACCCACCCCAACCGACAGTGACAGTGTACACCGATGCGTCTCTCATCAGATGGGGTGCGACATGTGCAGGACTTCAGGTCCAAGGGGCATGGACCTGACGGGAAGCGGCGAGGCATATCAACTTCCTCGAACTTCTAGCGATTTTCAACGCTCTCAAATCTTTCAAAACCGTCTTACACCGCCAAGTTGTACAGATTGCGTCTGACAGCTGCTGTTTTCTGTGTCAACAAACAGGGCGGGACAAAGTCACCTTTCCTGGCCCATTTGTCAATGCAAATCTGGGACTGGTGCATTCCTCGGGACATCACGATGCTGGCGGTTCATCTTGCGGAAACTGACAACATAGAAGCCGATGCACTGAGCCGACAGATGTCAACTACTCACGAATGGGAGTTGGATTGAGTGGTTTGCAACCAGCTGTTCCAGTTATGGGGACAACCGGATATAGACTTGTTGGCAACCCGGTCGAACAGGGTGTGCGAACTGTTCTGCTCCAGAGCGGGGCTGGGACTGGACTCGAGGGGAGATGCCCTAATGATCAACTGGAACAACCTGTTCTTCTGCGCATTCCCTCCAATCCCACTCCTCATGAAGGTAGTGTCGAAGATCGTGCATGACAACGCCACAGGAATTCTGATAACCCCATGGTGGCCAAGGCAACCCTGGTTCACCACTCTGCTAACTCAGTCGAGAGGAGTTTTTCGACGACTTTCAGTTGTTCCTCATCTATTAACACAACACAAAGGGACAGTCCGACACCCGGACCTACTCTCGCTGAAACTAACAGCGTGGTGCTTCTAATAGATCTGAATTTTCCATCGGCTCTGTTGCCGTCCCGATCGACGCAACCAATTCCTCCCTCGGAACCGTCAAGGTCCATTTCAGGACTGATAGTGTTATCCTCGGATATCCAGGCAGTTCTCAAATCTGCACTATGACCTTCCACATGCAAATCGTATTCAGCAAAGTGGAGAAGATTCTCTTCCTTTGCCAATGCCCGTTCCTTCTCTCCAGAGTCAGCTTCGATCGAGAATATTTTGCAATTTCTGTTGGATCTTCATCGCTTGGGACTCAAGCCTTCATCTATAAAGATCTATACGGCTGCTATCTCGCATTTTCGTGGCAGCATCCAGGGGTCATCTGTTTTTTCTCAACCCCTGATTCGCCGTTTCCTTAAAGGGCTACAAAATTTGCACCCGTTGGTTCTACCTGTTATGCCGACGTGGAGTCTTTCTGTTGTACTTCAGGCCCTTACAAAACCTCCATTTGAACCTTTGGCAACAGTGGATTTACACCTAGTTTCATGGAAAACTGCCTTCCTTGTGGCAGTTACTTCAGCCACAAGAGCCAGTGAGCTGTGTGCTCTACGCATAGACCCACCGTTCTTGAACTTCCACAAGGAAAAAGTCGTTCTCCGAATGGACTCCGAGTTTCTTTCCAAGGTGGCTACACCATTTCATTTGAACCAAGACATCGTCCTCCCTGTGTTTTTTCCATCTCCGTCGACTCTGATTGAGCGCTCTCTCCATACGCTGGATGTTAGGTGCTGTCTAGCCTTTTACAGGTCTCGCACAGAAGCGTTCAGGAATTCCAATAGACTGTTTGTCAAGTATGCTGCTCCTGACAAGGGCTCTCCAGTCTCATCTCAGCGGCTGTCCAAATGGATTGTGCAGACCATAGTCCTAGCATATCAATTGGCAAAACTTGACTTACCCTCACTTCCGAGGGGGCATTCTACGCGAGCAGTAGTGACTTCGTCGGCCTTTGCAGCAGGGGTTCCGATTCAGGATATTTGCAAGGTTGCAACTTGGGCTGCTCCATGTACTTTTGCCAAGCATTGTCGGCTTGATGTACGCTCCAGAAGGGATTGTTCCTTTGGTAGAGCTGTGCTCTCTGCCATTCTTCACTGACGACACCTTCTCTCCTCCAAGTCTGGTAAGCTTTCTAATCACCCATATGTCTGATGCACAGAGGCCACGACGAAGAAGAGCAGGTTGCTTACCTGTAACTGATGTCCTTCAAGTGGCTCTCTGTGCATTCACACAACCCGCCCGCCGGCCCCGCATGGTGTCAGTGAGTGGACTGTTTTTCTTACTGTCGGTTCTGTGTTATTCCTACAGTACCGATTTTTCTTGCTGTGATGCTGTTTTTCAAACATTAGGGGGCGAACGTCGGTCTTCGAGACTGAGTAAAATGGCAGACGCTCCACTCTATTTATACTGCAGAGGGGAGGGGAGCAGAGCGTTTTCCCACCAAAAACCGTTAGCTTTCTAATCTTCCAGCCTAGGCACTGCGCAGGCGCAGCACCCATATGTGTTAATGCACAGATGGCCACTCAAAGAACATCAGTTACAGGTAAGCAACCTGCTCTTCTGGGGAGGTTTCAATGAAGATGCACAGCAACCGAGATCCCAGATTTGGGCCCCTAATGATGCCAGCCTGGAACTTGCCTAATCCCCTCCACCCCTTGCTCAGCATGGTTCCATAATCGCCGTGGTGCTACAAGTAGGCTCTGTACAGGCTTATCTTTCCCCTTCAGACCTTTATGAATATTGCTTTAAGGTAATTGTGGCACATTAGCCACTGAAAGCACTGGCTGTAATCCTGGTTGCCAAGAGCAAGTGAAAACATTTGAATATGTCACTGTTAATGCCAATTGTTACAGCCTGTGCAGTTTAGAATTTAATTTTACTCAGCACTGCTTTCGCTGAAATAAAAGGATCAAATGGTTCTTGATGGATGTTTTGTTTTGTGCATCCTGAACTATGGTGTACTTGTTATCACCTGGTAGTTTAGGTTCTGTCCACTAGGAGGCAGGTTCTTTTCTTAGGAGAAAGTCCTGGCCAGGGATTGGATTAGGAAGCACCTCACATGATCTTTTGAGAGGCAATCTTTCTTCTGTAGGGAAAAGATTCAGATCTCTGGATCTGATCTGCTGAAGAATAAATCCATGTGGCTTTTAACACATTTTTTTTTCTTACCAGGTTCCGAAGTATTGCTAAATCCTACTTTAGAAGAGCAGACGGGGTGCTTCTCTTATATGACGTTACCTGTGAGAAGAGTTTCCTGAATGTCCGGGAATGGGTAGATATGATTGCAGTAAGCATTATGACTAAGTGAAACTTACAATTCAGTGTCCCGAAAATGTACAGTGTAGCTATCTAACTTATATCTCATGTGCCCACATCTGAGAGCTGGGTAGGTTAGACTGAGCACCCAGTGCTGCGGCCCTCTCCAGGCTGGTGCTGAGAGCTGTGCCCATCTCCTGTGCTGAAAAGCATCCATAGCTGTCACTAGTGCCCCCCAGGAGAAGACTGCAGAAGTGGGACCTGGCTCATGGCAGGGAGACCACCACATTCTGGGGTGGGGGGGGGGACATTGCTCTGAGTCACCACCCCTTGTGGGAAGTGTGCTCCCTTATCTCTGTAAAGAGCCAGTCCATGTTTGGAGTTAACCAGTGCTAAGCCAATGCAACTCCTCATTAATACAGCCCAAAATTCTGTCTCGAAATCTTACTGATCAAGCCACTAGCCTGGGTACTCTCCTTTGTTTTTAAATGTCATGATTGGACGACACGGCTCTGCTTTTAGTGAGTTATATAATTCAGTAATGCTTATCAGTACGACTGCAAAATATAATTGACTTATCCTTAATGTGGTTATGTGAGGGCAGTCCTTTCTGAGGCTTGCCAGCATGTGTTTTGGTAACAGAGATTAGCATTTCTTGCTTTTCACCCTAAGGTCCAATATCAAGGTTATCAAGGAAAACCTGAAACCCTTCATTTTCCTTGCAGGATGCAACACACGAACATATCCCAATCATGATGGTGGGGAACAAAGTGGATCTCCGCCCAGTGGTTTCTGAGCAAGGACAGAAATGTGTCCCCATCAGCTATGGAGAAAAGCTGGCCATGGTAAGGCTCATAGTTCACCCTCAGGAATGGCAAGATAATGTGAAGCAGGATTGGGTGAATGTAATAAAACAGTAGCATTAGGTAGACCTCGGATTTATAATTTCTCCATTTTAGAAGTGACTGCTCCCCATTTCCTTAGAACATAGCATGTGGATCTGCCATGCGCTCACCACAGTGCTGGTTAAGCACTCCCTTAGGCCTGTGCTCATCATTGTATGTGTGGATATGCAGGGCCTGTGCAAGTTCTACTGGGAAGTGTGAATAAGGATGCAGCAGAGCACTGCTCCCCAGGATCGGTCTCCTCGCTTACAACAGCCTGGAATTGGCATAGTTACCACCCACACACAGACATGCAGTGCGAGCTTTCATAATAGTCATAAAGGGTCTATTTCAGCCGTAAAGGAACTTGTGTGCAATTCTCTTTAAAAGCACTGGCAAGCACTTGACAGGTGCTTCCCTTGAGATTTGCTACTTTTTGTGGTTTGATATTGGCCGATGTTTTGGCAACCTTCCTGGCAGATAGGTACAGTCAAGCATACAAAAGCAATTTTACCTAGTGTACACATAATTATGCCTAATGAACTATTTCCTCTTGGAGGTTAGCTTCCTTGCAGTTGTTCTTCAATTTTATAATGAACTTATCTGAAGAAAATTGTCCATGGATGTATCTGTAAGCTGTTTTGTTTTGTTTTTTATCTCCTAGGCCTATAGTGCACTATTCTGTGAAACAAGTGCAAAAGATGGCTCGAACATTGTGGAAGCGGTACTTCATCTTGCTCGGTACATGAAAAGGCATTAGTAATTTTCTTAGCACCCCCAAAACTGTTGTTGAAGCCAGATTTGTTAAGTGTTCCTTCACATGTTGAAAAAGTATTGTGCACAGATGTCACCTCCATGTAAGGATGACATAAATCCCAAATGTCATTTGTTCCATGAGGCAGTCTTTCCTTCCCTGAGTGTTAGGCCAGGCTGTTGTTTTTGGAAGGCCCGGGACAAGGTGCTCCAGATGAGCACTTTGGCACTGAGCAGCCCCCAGCTTCCAGCACCTGCTGTCATGTGGATACCGTTTCTTGTGTGTGTAGTTGTGCAGCTTATCCAGTGGCATTATGATGCCATGGGTTGGACTGCTCATGGCTGCACATGCAAGGGGAGGCCTAGGGCTCCGCCTCCTGCCCTACAGTGCTTGCTGGCCCATGACTTCTTCAGGGGCTGGGGCTTCTCTCCGGTAAGTAGTGCTCATCCACAAGCTGTACAGGAAGAGGCGGGGCGCCTCCAGCTTCCTTTTCACATGGCTCTTGAGAAGCCTTCCCCATCCTTCAGTGGCTCTACAGATGGCTGCTGTGCAAGTGTGTGGCATGCTGGGGATTATAGGATTTTTTCTGCCTAAACATCCATGGGATTGTTTATGGCAGTGCCTGGGCAAAGGATCACTCCTCAGCAGGGGTGGAAAACATCAGACCAGAACGACCTTTCCTTCTTAGTTTCCCAGATGGCCTTTACCCCAGCGACCCATCATTAAGTGGTCTCCTGGTGCTTGTGTAGTTTTCCCATTCTCAAGGGTAATATGCTTCTACTAAAGCCAGTTACTGAAGAAATTTAAGCTTCAATGTTGGGATGATTTTGGGTGTTTTTGGTCCTATCCCTTTTACCTTTGACCCTGCCCATGCATTTATTTATTTAATTGATTCCATTTCCATGCCGCCCCATAACCCAAAGTTTCTCTGAGTGAGTTACAATACTAGAGCATAAAAACATGTATAATTTACAATAAAACAAGTATTAATCAGATAAAAGATAAAACAATAAAATAGAGCACCTCAAATAAAATATAAATGGAATACATCTCCCTGAGAGCTGCTCTGAAAAGGAATCTGGCCTTGGGCTGAAAAAATTCCAGCACACTTTCTGTATAAGGGAAGCCAATTTTGCTTAAAAGAAATATGTGCTTTGGTGCTCAGGCTGCAGTCAGCCTTGTGACATCCTCTGATTTGGAACTAGAATTTTGCATGTTTTACCACTGAATCTTTCCAAATGGTAATCCACCCCTTGCTATTTTGTTATCCAAGCCTTCATGAATCATTAGTCTCTGGGTTACTTATATGAAAATGAATGAAAATACAAATGAAAATTTTGTCATGTCCTAAATGATATTTGGTGCTTATGGCAAGAGGGACAGGAACACTTTGTTTCTGTTTGGCTGAAGTGATATCGTTGTAATCATAAAATTAAATACTGGATTCCTGGAAAGAACCAGGTCTGTTGGTTCATTCAGAACATGCAGAAGCCTTATCTTCCAGTGGCGATAGGTGCAGCAAAGGTGGAACTATCCATTCATCTGGAAATGTCAATTCAAAGTTAAGGGTTGCCTTGTGGGTCTGAGTCATTTCCAGGAATTTTCAGGCACCACTCATTCAAACAGCTCAGTGGCGATTCTGAAGGGGCAAATGGGACACAAATAAACAACATAAATAGTGGTAGAAAATTGGACAAGTAAAATATTTTGAGAATTTGTCAGTGTTTTAACCATTTTGTTGATCCCTGCATTGGCAGCCTGTTTTCGGGAGAACATGCCAGTAATTTTACATCAATGGCAGAGCAAGAGAGACAGTTGCTTTAGGGAGCATCCTGATGGATGGATGCTATAGATAGCCTCCTCTGCAGGCTAGGAGGAAGGTCCAGCATGGAGACCACACCTCCTTGACCCGCATCAGGAGGCTCAGCACTCTACCACTATGGGTACCCCACCATTACTGCTTTGGCAGTACAGGGAAAGCGGGGATCCTCCAGGCGTCCATCTGGGGCCAGTCAGGACTTGCACATGGAATGGGGGCAAAATGTCAGCTCAGGAGCATAATTATTCTTCCTTGTCTTGGAACCATGAGTCCGGTAGGGCTTAGAACAGGGCTGGGCAACCTGTGGCCCTCCAGATGTTTTGACCTACAGCTGTCACCCCTCAGAATTGGCTGTGCTAGCACAGGCTGATGGGAATTGTTGGCAAAAGCATGTGGGGGGACCCAAAATTGCTGACTTTTTGCTTATAAGGGGGTTGTTTCTATGCCACGGGCTCTCTCCTTCCCCTAACCTCCTCATAGCTGGTGAAATTTTCAGAGTCTTACCAAAGGGAAAAAATCATTCACTTGCTCAATTAACAGGTAGGGGGCTTAGCTCAGGAGTGGGCACTGCAACCACTTGTAAGCACTGTCATCCCTCTCTGTGGGTCAACCACATCTGGAGGGCCACACGTTACCCACCTCTGCCTTAGCCATTTGAGCCAGCAACACTGCATCGTCTTGTCTTGACATGAGAAGAGACCCTGGCTTAGCAGTAGAGCTCACACTTTGCAAGCAGAAGGTTCCACTGCTTGGTGCCTCTATTTCATGGGGTCTTTGGTAGCAAGGGATGGGAGAGACACTGCTGGAGACACTGGAGAGTTACTACCAGTGGGAATGTCCTCCAGACGTTTTGACCTACAGTTCTCACCTTCTCTGAAGATTTGTTGTGCTTCTGGGAGTTGTTGTCTGTATGGGATGCATGCAAAGATTTGTACTGCTACAAACTTTTATTACAAGGTGGATGGGCAGAAACATTCTCTTTAGGGCTGCAGATTATTGAATTGCATAGGGTGCAATCCATCAATTTTAGATGCATAGTTCCCATCCATTTAAGTTCAGTATATGTGCGAGAATTTATATCTGGGGCAAAAATAGGACTAAATTGAATAGTGTCATGGTGGACAGGTTTTGTTTGTTTGTTTGTTTGTTTGTTTGTTAAACTTATATTCTGCTGTATTGACCTGGAGGCACTTTAACTGGATTACAAGATATTTACTATAGATGTAGTTGTTTACTGTACAAAATGCTAGAATTACCTCCATCCACTTCAGTGATGATTCCATTTTTATGTAGTCTATTGGCTGTGTGAATACTGATTACAGATAACCTGGAATGAATGCAAGGATCTTGATGCTGAGTCAGTCCAGGATAACATGAGCAGCAAAAGAGAAATGTAGCAGCTGCCACACAAGTGATTCTCAAAGTGCCTGAAATACTAATTTTGCCCAATGCAATTTGGGATGTCTTCTTCAGGGATTTTTGTCTTCTCTTGAATATGGAGCAATGAGCTTTTCCTCTCCTTCCTCTGGTGAAACTAATTGGATTCCAAATTGTACTTCCAAAATGTGCCGAGCAAAGTAAATATTTCAAACACTTTGCAAATCACGTCTTTCTTATTTTCATAGTTCAGCCCAGGATACCTCTTTTTAAGCACATGATCTGCTGTTTAATCATGCTGAACTATTGTTTTGCAGAGAAGTGAGAAAAAGAAGTGACAGCAAAGATGATGACAAGTCAGTAACTAACCTGGCTGGGACAACACTGAAAAAATCCACGCTCACCAAAAACTGCTGCAGTGTTTAGAAAATCAACTCCTCCTTGGCCCCAAAGAAACAGACTTCTGAGGCGGAGGAAAACGAAACAATGAAAGATTTAGGCATTGGTTGCACAGAGCTATTGGTGAATGGAAGGATGGAAACATTATTCTTCGGGTCCCCCATGAAAGATCCTCAGTAGCTTCGGTCACTTTGCAACGAAACCAAGCAGAGAGTTCGTGATCCTTGGTCCAGCACCAGGGCTGGTCATTCCTGCGTGTTCGTTCTTGAACATAGGTCCATCTGCGTTACCACCTGTGCCTTTCTAAGCCAACTTGCCTGATAGTCATCGATTGACTGTATTCACATAAATACTCTGCTTTGTAACGTGGGAAGTCCATGGCCGATTTTCTGGCTTACATCATGGAAGGGATGTGCTGCTGCTGAAGATATTTTATCTGCAATCTAAAACTTGTGCCATTTGTGTTGAGAGATTCCAGTACTCTGAACCTTATCATGCTATGCTGTGTCAAGACTGCAAGAAACACAGTGGCAGGTTTGATTTTGGGACTGAACCTGAATCAGAAAGGCGCTATGGATATGGATGTGATTTTCAAGAACACTTCTGCCCCTTCAATGGACAGAATAATTTAGGATCTTTGGGATGAGTTCAGCAACACAGAGGGCCTTTTTCTTTTTCAAACCCTAACTATTAGCACAGGAGATAAATGAGATAAGGCCTAGTTGTTGATAAGCTGATAAGCCTGTGTATGGACCATACCAGTTCACGTTACAAATTTGAACACTCCTCATTGGGCGAAAAAGATTCCTGCATAAAGAAAATCAGCATTCTTGAAAGAAGGGTAGTCTGGGGAAAAGGTTCTATACATCTTGCGCTATACATGGAAAAATTGCTAGTACTGGAGCATGTTCATTGTGTGAATCCCCACCTCCTGTATGGCCCAGACACAGGTTTGCCACCTCACTGCAAACCAGGGCTAAGCAAGTGAGCCTCTAGCTGGAAGACGTTCACCTTTCTCACCACTGAATGCTCTCATAAATAATTTAATACATAGTATGTAGGTATGTACATTGGCTTTCCTTAATCTCAGGGCTGGGGAAGGGCAAATCCTACTTGAAAAGCAGTGTACAGGGGAAGGAAACTAATTTCGTCCCACCCTAGTGTTAATGAAACAAAATTCCTTGCTGCAGTGCTTAGTTCACCCTTCCCCAGCCTGCTACACACTTAGATTTGTGGACTACAACTCCCATCAGCATGCTCAGTGGTTGGGGATGATGGATGCAATGGTTCAAAAACTTAGGAAGGGTTGGGAAAGGATGATTTAAGGCAAAGCCCCCACTGGTGTTAATATGAACTCTTGGAGCATCATAGTTGTATGTGATGGGTGGGAAGAAGATACTCCCCTCCCCACACATGTAAGTTTTGCTCCTCTCCTTCCTGAAACTACGGGAAACATGCTCCACTGTTGCTTGCTGTATATCAATTTTGGCACTCTGTGGGCAAAATATGGGAAAGATTTTGAGAGGCTACCTATTTCTGCTTCCCACAAATTGATTTAGATCAGTGGCCTTCAAAAGCTAAGTTCTAAAGTGAGCCTGTACTTTGCTCGCACAAACAGTCAATGAATCCTTCTGAATTTCATTTGGAAAGGCCTGAGGCTCAACAAAGCAAAGGCACAGGAAGATGGCAAGAGGGAAACAAAGCCTCTGTAAAATAAGTACAACAATAGAGTTAACCATGACTGACAAATCAACATCAGGAGAGCTGACTGACCTTTGGTTTATGAAAAGGATATTCCACCATTTCATCTTCATCAAGATGAAAGAAAAGGGAGAGGAGGACCCAAGTAAGATCCACTTTCAGCCTGGCTGCTTCATTGAGCTTTCTTTGGGCAAGCCTGCCAGTTACTTGGAAAGCGAGGCCTGAAGCATTTCTTTTATCTCTGTTGCAATGTAGGCTCTGCCGGCTATGCTGGTGTGAGAGATTCTGGAGTCACAGAAGCATGCAATTAAAATCCCTGTGGAATGTAGGTGCTGCAATTTGGGCAGCATGCACTTTAGTTAGAATTGCATTATTATACCAATCTTGTCTTGACATGGAAAAAGGAAATCCGAATTATCCAATTCCTGGAAAGTTGATGAACATCATCAGGGACAAATGTCTTCTGGTCAGACTGAGAGACTTGGGCTCTTGTATATCTATGTTTTAAATGTTTTATGGCATTTATAGATGTCCCCATAACTAATTTATAAAACTAGTCTATTTTTATAGAAGTATAGATTTTATTTTTGCCTTTCTGTGCTCAGCTTTTTTAATGTTTTGAAGAGGGGAAAATGTTTGTAGTTGAAACATTCATTAGCTGTTCACTTTTGTGCATTCCTTTGTCCAACATATTGGCAACCTAGAAAAGAAATCCAAAATTTGCAGGTCACAAAGAGGATTCTTTCATCACTCATGTGCATGTGGCATTGTTTTAACTTAATGGCTTGTCTGGCATGAGAAATCCTCTTTGCAGCTGTATTTTCTGGTCATTTTTTGACTGAGTTAAGATCTCTTGCTGATCAAATGTATTCTTTGGTTGCAAGCTTAGCATACTTTGAAGACCACTAGTTACCTGGTCCTAAATATGCTGGACTGATTTGGACATAATGCTAAACAATAGTTAGCAGTATGTAAGTGAGTCTTGGGCTTGTATGGTTCGTTTTACCTTTTGCCCTTTGCTGTGACCAATTATGTGTGAAGTCAGAATAACTCTGGTTATTTTAAACAGGAAGTAAGTAATCTGGTGTTTCCAGGTGCTGGTACTGCAGCTCCCATAATCCTTGGCCATTGGCCATGCTAGCTGGAGTTGAGGGGGCTTGTAATCCCAAACATTTGAAAGGCACAAGCTTTTCTCCCTCAGGTTTAAACTGCAGCTGGCGAATAAGCTAGAATCATAAGCCACAATTTGAACTTGGGTTCTAACCAGTGTTCCCTCAAGTTTGAATGTAACGGGGGAACTTGGTTATTTTGAAAATGCGAAAGCTTCCTTAATGTCATGCGATTGCATCAGAAGGTCCCACAAGACCTGCTTTGTCAGCAAATTGGTACAGTTTATGCAACACAGCAGATCTTTCAAGGAGGATGCATCAATGACAAGTGTTTAAAGTTGGGTGTATTGAAAATGAAAGTTTTTGTAACTAAGCCAGCTACATGGGACAAGTAAGCCAATGAGAATTCTTGTAGCTTGTTCTTTATTTTAATATATGCATGCATGTTGAATGAGAATCATTTAAGCTTCTATCCCAAGTTTTAATGGCTTGGTTTTAAAAAAAATCAGTACCAGTAGCTGAAATCTGGAGGAGTCCATGGTTCCATGTTCCAGGTCTTGGGTGCAGATAAAAGGAAAATATATTTATCTTTAGAAAACAAAGAAACCCAAGACTAAAATACTGAAGGAGTTCATGAAACACACATGCAAGATCATTGTTGGCAGAATCGCTGAATGGTATATCTGGATAGGGTATGCTTTGGAGCCTCACTGCATCAGGGCTAATTTAAGTCTGGAGTTTGACATTACTTTAAAAATTCTCACATTACCAAGGCACTTCTGTGTAAAATGTCAAAAGCAACTGTAACTACTGACTTGATTATCCCACCGAGAACAAACAGTCTAAAACCAGCATAATTGCACTTTTTATAGCTTTAGTCTCTTTTAAAATCACTGACCCTCAGCAAGAGATCTTTTGTTTGCACGGGAATTCTGAGGCACACCTGGAACTACTCAGCTTTCAAGAGCTCATTGCCCATTCATTTCAATGGAAAGAACATGTTTGCTGCAAAGTCCAGTGCATGTAGTCATCTTGATACATACTCTGGTGTAATATGGTGTGTCCATTTACAGCACCTTGGATGTACCGGAGCACAGTGTTGGAGTCTGGATTGGGACTAATTCAGTTCCAACACTGTATCCTTTAAGTGATGTTAAGTCCCAAATGCATTTATGCCAGTATTGAGTAATCACAATAGAGCTAGGCTAAATTTGTAGAACAAGATTCTCTGTTGATTTTTCAAGGACTTCAGTTGTAGCCTTAACTGCAAAAGTAGTCATTTTAATTTATTTTAGTTGTCATATAACCTTATACATGTATATTTATTGCCAAAGGAAAATCTTTATAAGTGTTCGTTTCTGATAAATTCTGTACATAAGATTTATTTTTATGCATTTAGCAGTCACGTGTACTGTTGTTTCTTTCATATTGCCTTGCCTGTTCAAAATGTTAAAATATATCTGGTGGCTGGTGTTCTTTTTAAGGCAGCAATTTGCTTTCTCCTCTTAAATATTTGATCTAGTAAGTGCATTGGTATGTAATATGTGCTAACAGGTTGTGTGCTGAAAAATGCTGCATTAAAATTTCTTAGAATAAAAATGATATTTAACACATGCATGAGGACTTACCTAAAATAGCACTTTACAAGAATTTCTAATATCATTTTGTATAAGATTGTACTGTTATACAGTATACATAACAAGTCTGCTGCAATGTACACTTTGCTTTAGTGATGTGGTTGCTTTTAATTAAAGTGCAGGGACTAGATCTGCATTGGGATCCTAGCATGGGAACAATAAGGATCCTTTTTGGGCACTATGAATTCTAAGAGTGTATCCTCTTACCAGGACTGGGACTACACTGGGAGAGATTCAGTAGGATTTATTCAGAGCAATTTTTGGATTAAACTCCATTGAATCCAACAGGATGTATTGATTATAAACATGCATAGGATTGTGCTGTAAGCAATAGCCAGCAAGTGTGGCAATTATGACAATGACACCAACCACAACTTGCTTATTAAGCAAGATGGCTCGCTGCCATCTTCTTTCTGCATCCAGGTTATACTCTAACTTACCTGCTTTCCCTCCCATAGGCACTCTCTCACTAAAGCTTCTTACTGATGTAATTCTAAAATACACTGCATTTATAAAGCAGTTACAGTCTTTACACTTCATGCTGGCTAACTTGCCCAGCCTCTACTATCAATTCTCAGTCGCTCTCTCTGGGTGTGTTCCCTTTCCTTCCCAATCCAGAATGACCATCCAGAAATTTGTCATGCCTCTCCACCCCTTCACAACATTCTGAGTGCAATAATTGGCCTTGTGTTGTCAGGGACCAAGAGGAAGGGCTCCATGTATCTGTCACAGGTATCCACTTCCATCCCTAGGTAGACCATGATTTGTACATATTTCTTTAACCACTAATGAAATTTGCACAGATAAACACCCCAAAACCATGTGGTTGGCTCTAGTGCAATTTGTAAAATTCGGCCTAGTTTCCTAAATTGAAATTTATTTAAATAGGCTAATCCTGCATGAGTTGTGCTAGAACCATGTAGCCTGGCCGTGTTTATTTTCACCAATGGCATTAGTAGTCAAAAAATCTTTGCATAAGTCACAGTCTGTCATAGAGGTAAAAGTCTGTCTTAATACATACTACAGGGAGTAAGTGCCCATGTAGGGCTAATTAAGTGGAATCTGAGGGGCCCAATCATGAAAATCTGTCATATTTTCATCCCCTTACTAGATTTGTCAACAGTCCTAAGGATAGCACATGTTTTTGTGGATTAGAGGAAGGTTTAAGTCCTAATAAATGTATTTTTTAGGATGCCACAAGACACTTTGTAACTGAGCAGTGTAACTGGAGATGGGAATCTTGTAGTACAACATATCCAAAGCTCCACAGATAGGTAGGATATGAGGATGGAAAATTCCGCTTCTGTAATCTGAAAGTCAAAACATGCATTGCATTATTAACATCCAGTTGGGGTTTATATATTTTACCCTAGGGTAAGTGTGTATAGTCCAAATATCAGGACTACTGCGCTCTGGGAGTCAGGAAGCACGTGGTGGTGGCAGCAGATTTATTCCTTTACTGTCAGTGTGTAATGGTCATGATCTAAAACAGAACTGAATGCACTCACTCTAGATTTTTTGTACAGCTCAGCTCCATGCTACACAATTAAGGTAATGCGTGGTTTGATTCTGTGTTTGTGATTCTGGTCTACCTTTAAAGCAGGTAGTGATAAAAATACTTGATTAAAGTATAGATCCCCTGTCACATGAAGAAGACCTTAGTGGTGCCACTTAGGGAGAGTAGTGTTAATTTAAGTTGTCAAGATGGCCAAAGAAATAGTGGTTTCCTTAAAGAAGTTGCAGATCATCTGAGCAGCATGGGTCCAACCGCCCCCAACCCCCCTGAAGAACTGTGATCTTTACAGAGGAACATGAATAATTTGAGGAATGAAGTGCTTTGATGGGCATGAAATCTGTGCTGCTTAAAAGGGGAACACGGATCATTTGATTTATGTGCACAGTGAGAGAAAAGGGTTTCTTCAGCTTGTTTTAAGAAGAAAATAAGACTTGCATTTGCAGTGTTCTTAGAAGCATATTTACAAGTAATGGACTTCCAGGGTGGACAGTTTCTTGTTCATCTTGTCAAATTTGGCACTCCCAGGGTGCAGGATGTCAAATTGAGCTTTTGAAACAGTTCAGCATGGAGTGTGACACTTCTGTTGTATGGAACAAATCTGTGGGGATTTTTTTAGATGGTGGAAAGCTTTTGGGGGCGGGGAGTAATAACCCCTGGGGGAATGCTTTGGCTTAAAAGCCACTTGGTAAAATTATTTTAGGTTTACTTACTGTAAGCTGAAGGAGAAGTGTGTGTGTGTTATGAATGATTTATCACCATGCAGAGGAATCGGCAGTCCAGCTCAAGCTGGTTGTCACTAACCATTCAAACCACTGGGACTTAGTTGTGACTAGAGATGCCAGAAAGGATGTCAGAGAAATTCACAATGGATTTATATTTCTATGAATCTGAACTGTAGATGCCACAGTAGGCTGGCTCTTTGAGTCATACAGGTTGGTGGGCCAATTTTTAACTTTTGGGGGAAATTTGCATGAGTGCAAGTGTGCACTTGGGCAAATTCACTAATCAGCATTATCTAACTCCTGTAAACCAGTGAAGGTTAGCAGATTTGCCCAAGTGTGTGTTTTTGGATTCAGAATGAAGTTTTGGTTGGAAAAACATCTGATTCCATCACCGATTCCATAACAGAACAAAAGATGACTGTTGATACACACACACACACAGACCAAACTCACTTGTTACAGCTTCGTGTTTTCAAGCCAGAGAAAGCATTGTGAAAGTATGGATCATACTCTATTTTTAATGTGCATTTTGTGCTCTTCGACACGATGTAGTGGACAGTAGTTGTTGTTGCAGTGGGCAAGGATGAATGTGTTTATACCCCTTGTTGAAGCACTGTTCCTCCCTCACTGCATCTGTAGAATTACCAGAGCCATGGATGTGCAAAAAGACCAACATCAGGTAGTAAGAGGGGGCATTCAGAGATATTTGTTTCTGTCAGAATATGGACATGCCTTCTGAAAGATCTGTTCAGCTGTAGAAGAAACTACGGCATAAGGCATGTAGCTATATTATGTATAAACTGGCTAAGTCATCTAAAATGTCACAAAACTTACAATAGGGTTGGGCACAGCCTTAGGTCCAGGAGATCAAATCTGGCTTTCGTTGGTCTCAGGCTGGCCCTTGGGGGTTCCAGAGGTGGCCATGCCTTTTGCTTGACCCCACCTCATTTCCCCCAACTTGGTTTTCTGGATTTTGCACAATTGTCTCCCCACTCTAAAATGTTGAAAGGCACAACAGTAACCTTTTCCCTTTTGCTCCACCCACTACCAGAATGCTGCCCAATTTAATTTAATTTAATTTAATTTAATTTAATTTCAGCCCTTGGGAAGAAAGGTTCCCCCCTTGCACTTTATTGTTTGCTATGTTGCATTGTTGTTTTCCATATACGTTATGGCCTCTTTGTAGAATTTCCCCTCTCTGTTTTTTTAAAAAATGCCTTTGATTTCTTAAATTTCTTTTTTGGCACAGATGCGTTGCAAATCTCTGCTCTCTTTACCTTGCTTCTTCTGTGTATGGTGCTGTGCACTCCCTCCCCTACTTTCTCTCTTACAATCAAATCAAAGATCAGACCATATGGAGTAATTCAGCCTTTCAGAGCAATCAATTCCAAATGATTTTCTGTCATTGTGATGCAGGCAGCACATCAACTCTTCCAAATCTCACCTTGCAGCATTTGTAATGAAAATAACCATGCTGAGAGAGACCGATGTGTTCAGCTCCTACAAAAACTGATGTGTTCAGGTCCCTGGCATCACTCTGTGTAATACAGGGCAGCTTGCAGCTAAGCTCTCTCACTGTCAAGCCCTGTTGTCTCACAATGCTGTAATCACTTTGGTCAGATTTGCATATTTTGTTTTGTTTAATATTTATACAAATCAAAGCTCCCTTCAACTTTTAGATGGAGAGAAATTGTAGTAAAAAACAAAACAAAAAACAAGAAAACAAGGGAGGTGCTAATTCCACTATTGATGGCAGGGAGACAGTCCCACCGAATTTTTCTATTTTCTTTTTAAATGCTACCACAAGAGAGCAGCATTGCTCAACAGAACTTTTTCTTGGCTGAAGCGACTGCCTTGGAAGAGAAAGGCAGGAAGAAAAATTATCATTAAAATAGATTTAATAGCCCAGTTTTATTTCAGGTGCATTTTACACTAACTGTCTATTTGGCCTTCCTACTTTGGGAGGAATGTTTACCACTTGGCCGTAAAACCAACAGCACCATTCTTTGGCTCTAAGACAGACCCAGAAGGAGATGCCAATTGTTGCAACCATCTTTGATCAAGTAGGTTGTTTCCTGAGTTGACTAGAAACACTCATGGTATACTCCTATACATGCCCTATGCCCATTTCCAAAGGGCATGTATACAAGTGCAAGTATCGGATGGGAGTTCTAAGACTCCTCCTTTTATATGTACATAGAAAGATGCCATTAGGCTGCAGTTCTATCCCTCCTTGCCTAGAAGTGGTGCAGTTGGATTCTGAGTTCAATATGCGTGTAAGATTGCACAGTTAATGTTACAAACAAATATCCCAGACACATTTGATACTGAAAATGTTTCCAGGAATTGGAAGGAGAGAAGGAAGAAATGCTTTGTTATTCAACTGAATGTCTGCAGGCTAGTTATCTATAATGAGAAGCAGCTCATTAAAGAAGAAAAATACCACAGGACTCTGTCTCATCTTTGACCCAGTAAAAGAAGAATGTCTTTCCTTCTATATGGTAAATCAATACTGTTATTGTTTTCCTTTTTAGAAGTCCGTATCATGGTAGTGGTTGTAGGTTGCTTTCATTCAGCAGTGCCGAAAGTCAGTCACATGGACCAAGTGAAGTCTGGCTGTGGGCCCAGTCTGGACCTCCTGATTTCTCCAGATGCCCCAACCCTTGTCTTCCAACCACCTAGTTTTTGGTGGTTTCCATGTCCTGGGTTTCTTTATGTGAGGCACATCATC